CTGTGATACCATTGCCCAATATTTACCTAAGAGAAAAGAAAGCATATTTTCATACTTGTGTATAAATATTAATAGCAATTTGATCTGTAATAGCAAAAAACTGGAAACTACCCAAATGTTCATTAACAGGTGAATGCATTTACAAATTGTGGTATTCCCACAATAAAATATTTCTCAAAAAGGAAAACAAACATTGATACACATGACAATATGAATAAATATTAAATGATTAAATTCGTACTAAATTCTGGAAAACGCAAACTAATCTCTAATGAGAGAAAATATATCAGTACTTATCTTGCAAAAATGACTGTTACGTATCTAATATGTACTAACTCAATTCTAGTTTCTATGTGTCCATCAGTGAACAGTGCAAATGAATTCCATACAATCCTGGAATTTACTGCACTAAGTGGAAGAGGCAGGAAATAAACAAATAAGCAAAAGTAAGTAAAAAAATTACAAATTGTGGTATACTACTGCGAAACAAAAAAAGAGTAAAGAATAGATGATACTGTGGGGTGCCAGGAGTTACTTTAAATCTGGCGGTCAGGGACACATTTTTGGAGTAACTAGCAGTACACTGAGGTCTGATGGATGAGAAGGAGCTGGCTATGCAAGTGTTGAGGGAGAAGCCATTCAGTAGATGAAAGAACATATTCAAAACTCTGAGTTTAGAAAGGACTTCTCTTGGAGAATTTAAATAAAGGCGATTGTATCTGAACTCAGACGTTAATGTAGCACGGTGTGCAATGAAGTAGAGAGGTAGACCTAGGCAAGATCATATAGAAATTTGTAGACATAAATTCTGTTTCCAAGGCAATGGTAAATAATGTGGGCTTCAAGCAGGGTGATGACATGATCATATCCCAGCTTTAAAAGGTCATCTCACTCTCATGGAAGACTGGAAGGAAACAAAAAATTGTAATCAGGGATAATAGTTACTCTCTCTCTCTCTCTCTCTCTCTCTCTCTCTCTCTATATATATATATATATATATATATATATATATATATATATAAACAGAAACACAAGGAACTCTTGGCAATGATTGCCTGTGAGTGCTAGAATGAGGAAGAGGCAGATGAAAAGGTTATAGATGCTTTGTATTTAATATCTTTATGTATTGTTTGGACAGGTAAAAAGTATTTTATTTATTGGTACTGGGTATGAGGAGCAAGTTGTATGTGTCTTTGTAAGAGGAAAGTAAAATGTGAAATAAAATGTCAAACTGATATTTTATTTGTAAAAATGTTTAACTGTTTTTCTTAAAATAGTCTTTTCTTTTACTTCTCTAATACTACTTTCATGATATTATTCTAAGCAAATGAATGCAGGAACAGAACAAAAAACACCACATGTTCTCACTCGCAAGTGGGAGTAAACATTGATTATACATGGACACAAAGAAGAGGGAAATAGGCACTGGGGCCTATTGGAGGGTAGAGGTTGAGAGGAGTGTGAAGATTAAAAACTACCTGTCAGGTATTATACTGATTTCCGGGGTGGCAAAGTTTTTGTTTCTCTCTAATTAATTTTCAAGCAGTCTATATTCAAGTTTACATATTCATTCCTCTGCTTCATCAATTCTTATGTTTTTGCTCTCTATTGCTTTTGTTTTCATTTTATTCATTATATTCTTCAGCTCCAGAATTTCTTTTTAATGACTTCAATATATTTCTCTGTTATATTTTTATATTGTGTATTGTTTTTTCTAATTTCATTAAATTGTGTCCTCAAATTGCCTAGGTCACTGAGCTTCCTTATAACAATTATTTTAAATTTTTTGTCAGGGTATTTTAATATCTCTATTACTTGTGGGTCTTGGTTATTTCCTTTCTTCTGCTGGATGTGGGTTTGGTTTGTTCTTGTTTCTCTGGTTCCTTAAGGTATGACCGCAAAATGTCAGTTTTTGCTCTTTCAGTCTTTTAGATGTAGGTGTTTAGGGCTATGAACCTTCCTCTTAGCACGGCCTTTACTGCATCCCAGAGGTTTTGAGACATTGTGTTATTGTTGTTCAGTCAGAAGAATTTTTTAATTTTTATTTTTATTTGCTTTTTGATCCAACAATGATTCAGGAGCAGGTTATTTAATTTCTATGTATTTGCATGGTTTTGAAGGTGACTTTTGGAGTTGATTTCGACTTTTACTCTACTGTAGTCTGAGAGAGTGCTTGAAATAATTTCAATTTTCTTAAATTTATTGAGGCTCATTTTGTGGCCTATCATAAGGTCTACTTGGAAGAAGTTCCATGAACTATTGAATAAAATATGTATTCTGCAGTTGGATGAAATGCTCTTTATATATCTGTTAAGTCTATTTGTTCCAAGGTATAGTTTAAATCCATTGTTTCTTTGTTGACTTTTTGCCTTGATGACCCATCGCTAGTGTCCTTAGTGAAATATTGATGTCCCCCACTATTATTGTGTATTATTGTGTTGCTGTATATCTCATTTTTTAAGTCTATTAGTAATTGTTTTATAAATTTGAAAACTCTATTGTTAGTTGAATATATGTTTAGGATTGTGATATTTTCCTGTTGGACAAGGCCTTTTACCATTATCAAATGTCCCTCTTCATCTTTATAAACTGCTGTTGCTTCAAAGTTTGTTTTGTCTGATATAAAAATAGCTACCCCTTCTTGCTTTTTGTGTCCATTTGCATAAAATGTCTTCTTCCACCACTTTATGTGAATCCTTGTGTGCTAAGTGAGTCTCTTGAAGGCAGAAGATGGTTGGTGAGTATTTTTCTGTTCTGTAGTTCTGTATTTTTTAAATGGAGCATTTAGGTCGTTTACATTCAGTGTTAGTATTGAGATGTGAGGTACCCTTCCATTCATCATGCTATTCATTTCCTATGCATTTTGCTTTTGTTTTTTGTTGTCACTTTTTAAATTGTATGTTTGTTTTATAAGTCCTGTGTGATTTTTGCTTTATAGAGGTACTGTTTGGATATATTTCCAGGATTTGTTTCAAGATTTAGAGATCCTGTTAGCAGTTCTTGTAGTGGTGTCTTGGTAGTGGTGATTTCTTTCAGGACTTGTTTGTCTGAAAAAGACTGTCTCTTTCCTTCACATACAATGCTTTGTTTCACTGGTTACAAAATTCTTGGCTCATAATTGTTTTGTTTAAGGAGGCTGAAGATAGGGCCCTAATCTCTTCTAGCTTGTAGGGTTTTTGCTGAGAAACCTGCTGTTAACCTGATAGGTTTTCCTTTATAGGTTAACTAGTGCTTTTGTCTTATAGCTCCCTTAAGATTATTTCCTTTGTCTTAACTGTAGATAACTTGATGACAATGTGCCTATGTGATAGTCTTTTTGCAATTATTTTTCCAGGTTTTCAGTATGTTGATGAGGTATTTGTGCTCCCACGTTCATTTCAACATTTTTTATTTTTATGATAGCAAACATAAGGAATCAATCTAATTGCACATCAATGAATGAACATATAAAGAAATATGGTTTTTATACAAAATAGAATACTAATCTGTCTTTAAAAAGGAGGAAATATTGTAATTTGTGATGATGTGTATGAACCTAGAAGACATTATGATAAGTGAAATATTCCAGACACAGAAACACAAGTACAGCATGATCTCAAACATAAATAGAATCTAAAACAATTGAACTCATAGAAGCAGAGTAGAATGTTATTTATCAGAGCCTGGGAGGAAGGGTAATTAAGGAGCTATTGGTCAAAGAATATATAATTTCAGTTAGACAGTAATTTCAAGAGACCTATTTTACATCATAGTGACTATAGTTAATAACAATAAATTGTATAATTGAACATTGCTAAAATGTTATAAGAGAGGATATTATAGGTATTCTCATCCCAGAAAATGGTGACTATGTTGGGGAATACATGTAATATTAAATATCTTGATTTAGCCATTTCATTGTGTTTACACATATCAAAACATATTATATACCTAAATGTACAACACTTTTGTCAAATAGAAGAGAAAAACGAGGGGGGAAGAAAAACAAAAGTAATTAGAGATAGAATAAAGAGTCCAAAATTAAAGCCTTGCATATAGGGTCAACCAAGACTATTGAAGGGGGAAGTCATGTGTAGACAAATAGTCATGTGTAAACTAGATATCCACATGTGAAAGAATAAAGTTGGACCTATAACTTATACTATATGCAAATATTAACTCAAATTGGATCAAAGACTTACACATAAGATATAAAACTATAAAATTCTTAGAATAAAGCACAGAAGGAAAGCTTTATACTTTGGATTTGGCAATGACATTTTTGATATGATACTAAAAGCACAGGCAACAACAACAACAAAAAACAAACAAGATGGACTGCATTAAAGGACACACTCAAAAAGTAAAAAGGAAACCAAAAAATGGGAGGAAATATTTACAAATAATGTGTTTGATGGGGATTAATATACAAAATACATAAAGAACTCTTATGACTCAACAGCAAAACAAAACCCAAATGACTCAATTAAAAAATGGACAAAGACTTGAATAAACATTCCTTTAAAGAAGATAAACATGTGGCCCACATGAATGCAAAAATATGCTCAAAATCTCTAATCATTTGGGAAATGCAAATAAAAACCACAATGAGTGTCATATCATACAATGTCTAATGTAAAAAAAATAAATAAGTAACAAGTGTTTTAAGAGAATGTATAGAAATTAGAACTCTTGTACATAGTTTGGTGTCTTTTCAAGAAGTTAAAGATAATATTGCCATATTATCTAGCAGTGTCATTTCTGGGTATATTTGCAAATAACTCAAAGCAGGGTATTAAAGAGATATCTGCACACTTATGTCTTTAGCAGCATTATTCAAAATATACAAAAGTAAAAGCAAATGGGTAAATAAAATGTATATATAAAGGCAATAAAATATCATTCAGCCTAAATAGAATAAAAATTCTGTTACACACTACAACATGGTTGAACCTTGAAGATATTATGCTAAGTAAAATAAATCAGTAACAAAAAGACCAGTAGTGTTTTATTTAACTTACATGAGATATGTAGAGTATCATGCTCATAGAAATAGAAAGTAGAATGGTGGTTTCCAGGGGCTGGAGATAGAGGAAAATGGGGAATTTTCGTTAAATTATTATAAAGTTTCAGTTTTGCATGATGAAAAACTTCCAGAGATTGGCTGCACAGTGATATGAATGTAGTTAATAAGAATGAACTGCACACTTAACCATTAAAAATGATTCAAATGTTAAATTTTATTTTATATACATTTTTATACCACGACTATTTTAAATGACAAGCATATTAATATGATATTGTCAGTCAAACATGTTCTTTAAAAATAAAGCTATCAGATTTGTCAAAGACAAGATGGTTGTGGATGTGTGGCATTATTTCTGAGGCCTCTGTTCTGTTCCATTGGTCTATCTATCTGTTTTCATATCAGTACCATGCAGTTTTGGTTATTGTAGCCTTGTAGTATAGTTTGAAGTCAGGTAGCCTGATGGCTCTGGCTTTGTTGTTTTTGATTAGGATTTTCTTGGCTATATGGGCTCTTTTTGGTTCCATTTACAATTTAAAGTAGTTTTTTATAATTCTGTGAAGAAAGTCAATGGTAGCTTGATGGGAAAGCATTGAATCTATAAATCACTTTGGGCCATATGGCCATTTTCATGATATTGATTCTTTCTACCCATGAGTATTGAAGGTTTTTCCATCTGTTTGTATTTTCTCTTACTTCCTTGAGCAGTGGTTTGTAGTTCTACTTGAAGAGGTCCCTCACATCCCTTGTAAGATGTATTCCTAGGTATTTTATTCTTTTTGTAGTGATTGTGAATGGGGGTTCATTCATGATTTGGCTCTCTGTCTATTATTGGTGTATAGAAATGCTTGTAATTTTTGCACATTGATTTTAAGTCCTGAGACTTTGCTGAAGTTGCTTATCAGCTTAAGGAAGTTTATGGCTGAGACAAGAGCGTTCAGGGAAAGGATTCCCTATTTAATAAATGGTGTTGGGAAAACTGGCTAGTTATATGCAAAAAACTGAAATTAGACCCCTTACTTACACCTTATACAGAAATTAACTCAAAATGGATTAAAGACTTAAATGTAAGACCTAAAACCATAAAGACCCTAGAAGAATACCTAGGAAATACCATTCAGGATATAGGCATGGGCAAAGATGTCATGACTAAAACATCAAAAGCATTAGCAACAAAAGCCAAAATTGACAAATGAGATATAATTAAATTAAAAAGCTTCTATGAAACAAATGAAACTATCATCAGAGTCAGCAGGCAACCTACATAATGGAAGAAAATTTTTGCAGTCTATTCTATAAAAAGCTAATATCCAGAATCTACAAAGAACTTAAACAAATTTACAAGAATAAAACAACCCATTCAGAAAGTGGGCAAAGTATATGAACAGACACTTCTCAAAGGAAGACATTTATGCTGCCAACAAACACATCATCACTGGTCATGAGAGAAATGCAAATCAAAACCACAATGAGATACCATCTCACAACAGTTAGAATGGTGATCATTAAAAAGTCGGAAAACAACATATGCTGGAGAGAATGTGGAGAAATAGAAATGGTTTTACACTACTGGTGGAAGTGTAAATTAGTTCAAGCATTGTAGAAGACAGTGTGGTGACTCCTCAAGGATCTAGAACCAGAAATACCATTTTTGCAGCATTGCTCACAGTATCACAGACTTGGAACCAGCCCAAGTGCCCATCAATGATAGACTGGATAAAGAAAATGTGGCTCATATATACCATGGAATACTATGCAGCTGTAAAAAAGGATGAGTTCATGTTCTTGCAGGGGCATGGATGAAGCTGAAAATCATTATTCTCAGCAAATTAACACAGAAACTGAAGCTCAAACACCACATGTTCTCCTTCATAAGTGGGAGTTGAACAATCAGAACACATGGACACAGGGAAGAGAATATAACACACGAAGCCCTGTTGTAGGGTAGGGGGATAGGGGAGGTATGGCAATAGGAGAAATACCTAATGTAGATAATGGGTTGAGGGGTGCAGCAAACCACCATGGCATGTGTATACCTATGTAACAACTTTGCATGTTCTGCACATATATCCCAGAACTTAAAGTTAAATCAATCAATCAATCAATCAATCAATCAATAAATCTATGTGAATTCTGAATCTAAAGTAGGCAAGTTTAGTTGTAGGCTTACATTGTAGTCTTGTGAATTTTTGAATTCTGAGTTCAAGTCTTTCTGAATTTTTTGAGACAAAATAAAATATTACAAAAATTTGACCCAGAAGTTTTTATAATCTTTCTAAGAGTTATTTCCAACAAAATAAAGGAAAATTTTGACTCATAAGGAGTTCTCCATTTCAAGAGTAGATGATTTCTTCTCATTTTATTATTGTTCAAATACCCCATTATTTTATTTGGGGAATAGATGCTATCAAAAAAAAGGAGAACAGCTGGGTGTAGTGGCTCATGCCTGCAATCCCAGCCCTTTGGGAGGCTGAGGTGAATGGATCGCAAGGTCATGAGTTCGAGACCAGCCTGACCAACATAGCAAAACCCATCTCTGCTAAACACACACACACACACACACACACACACAAATAGATGGGTATGGTGGCTCACACCTGTAATCCCAGCTACTTGGGATGCTGAGCCAGTAGAATCACTTGAACCCGGGAGGTGGAGGTTGCAGTGAGCCAAGATCGTACCACTGCACTCCAGCCTGGGGGCCACTGCACTCCAACCTGGGCAACAGAGTGAGACTCTATCTCAAATAAATAAATAAATAAATAAATAAATAAACAAATAAATAAAGGAAGAAAGAAAAAGAAAAGCAAGCCACAGAAACATTAGTCTCGTCAATTTTATGTAGCCTTTACTGAGAAAAAAAAAATGATGCACTTGCTATCTGGCCAGTTAAAAAATTTGGAGAAAAGTAGCTAGAGTTCAGAGGTAATAACCTATTGACATTTAATTAATTATGGAAATATTCTGTAGAATGGTATTTCACGTTAATATTAAAATAATATATACAATAGGCACTTTTTTTTTCTTTTTCTTTTCTTTTTTTTTTTTTTTTTGTTTCTTGAGACAGGGTCTCATATGTCACCCAGGCTACAGTTTGGTGGTGCAAGCATGGCTCACTGTAGCCTGGACTTCCAGGTTCAAGCAATCCTCCTGCCTCAGCCTTCTCAGTAGCTGAGACGACATGGATGTGCCACCATGACCAGCTTTTTTTTTTTTTTTTTTTTTTTTTGTAGAGATGGGTTTCACTACATTTACCAGGTTTGTCTCGAACTTCTGGGCTCAAACAATCCTCCTGATGTGGCCTCCAAAGTACTGTGATTATAAGTGTGAGCCATCATTCCTGGCCCGCCTAATACAGGCGTTATTAAGAAATAATCTTTAGGCATCTAGAAAGGGTAAAGGTTCTCCATGGAATTTTCCTTTAATAAAAGGCAACCATGAACCATTTTCTTTTTAACACAAAGCATCTTGAAAAACTAGATAAGCCAGCACTGATGCAAATGCCAGTGGCTAGAAACCAGGTTCACCCAACATGGTGGTTTCCACTCTCTTCCCCTTGTCACCATTTGCGCCAAGTGTCATGGCCACCTCCAGATAACACCACATGTACAGGACATCATAGTTACCTGTATTTGCATACGAAAAGGCTAGGATGAAAAAGCCAGTTTTTTCAAGGTATGTGAATGACATACTTGGTCAAACCAATCACCTACGCCCTATGCAAACTAGATATCGCCTCCCCAGCCTCTTAATAAAACCCAGTGCTTTCCACAGCACAAGGGGTGTTTCTTCAATCGAAGGCGCCCTCCCTCTATAGGCGGGAGCTTTTTTTTCTATTTTATTGCCTATTAACCTTTCTGCTCCTTAAAACCACTCCACGTGTGTCTGTGTCATTAATCTTTTAGGTGCAAGACAAAGGACCCTGGTGTTTCTCCCATCATCAGAGCGAGCTGTACTCCTCCTTTTACTTAATACTTTGTAGATATAATGGATCAGGCCATTATATTCCTGGTCTAATGTGGCCCTCCTCCTTTTTGTTAATACAAAAAGATATGATGGCTAAGACCATCAGATTCCTGATCTAAAGTCTCTAGAAAAACGAATGCTTCTGCATATATTTATAGCAACAAAGTAAAGGAACTGAGCTGTGTTTTAAGGTGGTTCATTTTGTGTTAATGTTTTATTGGTTTTGGCATCTGGACCCATAGAGCTGTAGATAATGCTAACCATCAGTTTGCTCCTGAAAACAAATCTCTGCTAAGAAAAAGGTTGTGGAGTGTGAAACTGAGTGATCTCTCTCAAGCAGAAGTTCAGTATTGTGTGCTTTCCATCTCCGGTCTTGCTGTCATTAAGAAGACTAAAAACATGCAGCTATGCCAAATTATTCTTCCATTAGTTAGATTGCTATTCACTCCAGATTCTAAACTTTTCAAAGATAATATTTATTTTACTTCTTTGGAATTCGGAAATGCTTTCAAAAAACATCCTTAGATATTGTTACATAAATTCTGTTTATTTAAAAAAGTAACATTTTTTTATGTGCTTTCTTGGAAATTCATAAATAAGAAATGACAAATGTCAGTGAAATACAAATTTGTTTAATAAATTATAAACAACACATGGTCATTCTGAAATAAATGCAAAGTGATACCTATCATTTAACTGGTAAGCTTGCAATACTAAAACTACGAATACTGGTTTTTCTAGTGTTTTTACCATGACAACAATGACTACATATTTTTATCACATACTATATGTGGCATGCTTTAGGGCATGTTTACACTTCCTGGAAGCTACATCAATAGTTAAACATTTTGTTAATAATGTAATCCTCACAAGTACTATGCCAAATGAGTTGATGAAGTCTCATTGCCATTTTGTTTTCACAGTGGAAAGATTCAAGGTGGTTTATCAAAAAATTACAAGTCAATTTTCAAAAATCTCTCTTGGCACATTTGTAAATTTACATGTGCATGTATCAGTATTGTAGGTAAGATGGAAGCAGTGGTTTTAATTTTTTGTTTGTTTTAGTAAATCTACTGATACTTATCAGGA